CCCCCAAAACCCCAAAACCCCAAAACCCCATTCACTAATTCTTAGTTTGAAATTAAAATTTTATTAAAAAAAAACCACCCAACTTTAATTCTTTATTATCACCACATAAATCAACCCCCTACCAGAACTAAGAGCACTATCTTCCAAGGCAATACAAACCTACAACACTCCAAAAATGCCCCAAAACCTCACAACCACCCTCCCAAAGCCCCTTAACCCCTTTAATCCCCCTAACCCTCTCCCCTACCCTCCCTTCCCCTATCTCCATTCCCTACTCCCCTCCAACCTCCTTCTATCCTACTCAAGCTCTTTCCTTAAGCCCAAGCCAACACAGGCTGAACAAAAGATTATAGAAGAAACTACTACTATTAGACCTTCATGAAGTTACTGCTGGAGTCATGCAGACTTGTCTTAGAGCTATGCATTACGCTGCTGGTGCGGGATGAAGGGATGAATAGAACTTTTTGGTTAGTGAAGTAGTCACTTTCTCGCTTGATTGTGTCCCTACGGAGGCGAGTGTAGACGTTAGACTTTTTAATAGGTGTCTTTTTGCTAGATTTGTACCTGTTGTATTTCTCTTGGATGAAGGAATCGCTGAATTGGCAGAGAGTTTTGATTAGATAAGAGTTATACATCGATGTTGTTCCTAGAAGAGACTTGCTGTTTTTGGAAACTTTCTTTAGTTCGTTCTCGCTTACTTGGTATCCTTTTTCAATCTTGGCCATAATTTCTTTATTTTTCCTGAGCAAGTCTCTCTTTTTGCTCTTGTGTGCGTACTGGGTTGTCAGCTTTAAGGTATCTATCGATCTGCTTGACATACCAAGTTTGGGTCTTAGCAAATTGAGATGGATCAGTCTGTCTAAACCAATTCTTCATCCCAGATCTAAATGTAATAAATTTTCACCCTACTTAGACATTAGCTTTGACTTTGCTTTTCTAGGGTTTATATTTCCCTCAATAATGTCATTAAGAGTCTTTGCAATCGATACATTTTTCTTATGAGGCTGTAATTGACACTATTAGACATACGCTGAGATGGATGCCCTCTGCACCATTACTTGGGTTTGCTATTAATGGCAAAGGTCTATTTTTCTCATGATTTATTCATCCACTTTGGACCACCTTTTAGCCCAGCCATTCGAACTTTTTCGAAAGACTTGTTTGCCGGAATTTTTCTTCTATACGTCAAACATGTAGAGCGTACTTCCCAACTGATGTAGGTATCCTCCTGTACTTCTCATTAACACTGTTAAGAGGCTTATTTGTGGTAAGATTTATTCAAGCTCGCAGATAAATCATTAGGCCTCCGATTATTGTTCATCGGCGTCTTGAAATTTCTTCTTTCTATTCCTACAGGAAATTTGATCTTATGTTTCTTCCCTGGCGATTTTGATTTTATAATAGGTTTCGGTTCTTTAAGATTCTGATGAACTTTAGGAGGACTTTCTAACTCACTCCCTGATATACTAAAGTTAGCCGAAACCTCCTTGTTCTCTGCGGTGACTTCATCGATAGTGAAAGAGTCATCATCAATGCTTTGATTCCGATTGCCTATGAATTTGTTGACCTAGAAGAGTGAGTAAATGATATTAAATTACTTTGTAGCTGAGAGCATTCCTGGAATCATCATCTTCCTTTTCAAAGTATTCTACTAACTCTTTCAGCTCTTTTTCCTCTTTCTGTTGTATAGCCGTTTTTAATCCTTCATATCTTTTAGTCGGATCAGGATGATCAGTTTGTGTAAGAAGCTCTCTTCTCTGTGTGATGAAGCCGATCTTTTTACATATGTAATGCTCATACTGTTTAATTCTCTTCATTTGGCCCTGGGTAGAGTCACCAGGCGTAGACTTATCAATGTTGTGTAAATTTATATTTACACCTTTTGTTCTCTTTCTGTAAAGATATTTAAGTCTCTTCATTCTTTGTCTCATAGCTCTTTTACGCTCCTGATTGAGACGATCCATCTCCTTTTTGAACTCTAAATTTTCAAGATTGAACAAGAGATCCTTTGAAAGTTTAGTGGTTATACTGGACTTATTTATAATTCAGAAGGGATTGAGGCTTGAGAGACTCCTTTATTCGTAGTGACTTCTGGAAAATTGAATTGAAATCAGTAACGTTAACATTTTCTAATAGTATATCTCTAAGATTGTCATCATTCTTCTTCTCTTCCACGCCAAGAGGTTTATTTAAGTATATCTTTGTGAGTCTTCTTCTCTTTCTGGTCTCCTAAGAGGATGAGCTTCAGTTCTTTTGAGATAGTCTTTTGGCGATCGTGTTTTCTATTCAGACTACGTGGACTTCTAGGACTCTTTGGAGAAATGCTTCCAGACCCGTTATTGTCTAGATGGAGTAAGTTTTAGCCCAATGATGTTGAAATTATACGTACTTTGTTCCATCTCTTTCTGGACTTTGTTGATAATACTGAATATGCTCCCGTAGTAATTTCCACCTCCCTTTTTAGCAGTTTTCTTGGTATTACTAGCACTGCTTGATTTAGCGTCTAAAACCCTTAGGAAAAGAAAGGAAATGTAGCTACCTGAGGTAGTCTTTTGAAGACGAGAAGAAGCCATGTTTTATATTTTATTTTTCAAGTAAGCAGGTTGTGCGAGGGGTTTTGGGGTTTTGGGGTTTTGGGGTTTTGGGG